CAATGAGAACCGCATCCTTATGCGGCCTAAATTACAACCAAAAGAATGCACACTAAGGCCAGAACAAAGCCGGAACCCTTAGGTCAAATAAAGCACAAGCAAAAAGCAAAACATCAAAAGAAGCCAAAGCCTGCAAAAACAAGCAAAAGAGAAAGACAGAGCCCACTGAACCACCGGACCTAGACCATGTCTTCCACCTTTACTCACAACTTGCCACCACAGTTCCCAAATTCTTGCAAGTCCCGTAAAGCTAGTTGCACTACCACCCTCTCCGACATCCACGATTGTTTAAACTTCCAGAGGTTCCGTGATTTCCAGAGCCACCACAAAATGTACGTCGTGAGTTGGATACGAGCTTCTGAAATATCACGATGATCTAAAGAGCAAACTCTCCCCCACCAATCAGCAAAATTGTTATTAGAATCCACAATTCCCTCCCAAGATACCAGTGCCAACTTCCAAACCAGTTTTGCACGAGAGCAACTGAAAAAAATGTGTTCAGCTGTCTCTAACTCCAAGCCACAGCAACTGCAAATACCATCTAAGTCCATCCCTCTCCTCCTTAGATTGGAACAAACAGGTAAGATATTGTTAAAACACTTCCACACAAAATGTTTGATTTCCCCTCTTACCTTTAATTGCCAGCTTCTTTTCCTGATCTTGGGAAGCCTCGCAGTTGATTCACTTCCTTTTGCCACATCTAAGTTCCTGAACTTCTCTTTAATAAGGTGAGAATATGCCTTAGCCACAGAGAAAACTCCCTTAGCATCCCATTTCCATATCCATCTGTCCCTCTGCTGAGGATTAAGAGTTTTAATACTAAAGATAGCAGCCCTGTCCTCCTCATTAAACAACTCCTGCAGCAGATTTAGATTCCACCTTCTACCCCCTGCTTCCATCAATTCCCATACTTCATTCACCAAGATTTCTGAAGAGTGCCTTGATGATGGAACCCCTGTCTCAGTTGATAACAGCCATGGGTCCTGCCAGATTATAGTATACAACCCATCTTTCTCTTCAATTCTGAAACAATTTTTATAAATATCCTTTATCCTCCTCCAAGTGCTCCAAAGCCAAGAAGAGCTGCTAGATTTCTGAGCCTCAAAAATAGAACAGGAAGGAAAGTATCTCTTCTTCAGAATTTTGCTTACCAAGAGGTTTGGAGATGTACACATCATTAAAAAGTCTGAAATCATGAAACCCCAGCCCTCCCAGATGTTTAGGTAAAGTGATCAGTTGCCATTGTTTCCAGTGTATACTCTGCTGTTGATCCTCTCCCTTGCTCCACCAGTATCTAGCACATATCCTGCTCAACTCATTGCAGATCCCCACAGGTAAAGAAAAACAGGACATAGTAAAGATGGGGAGTGCATTCAGAATAGCCTTCACTAAAACTTCTTTTCCTGCCCAAGAGAGCATTTTGTTCTTCCAGCTATTGATTTTCCTTTGTACTGCTTCCACCACATACTGAAATGTTTCTTTTTTGGATTTCCCAATTCCCAGTGGAAGCCCTAAATATCTGGAAGAGGAATGAACTCTGATGCCTTCAAGTATAGCACATATATCCTCTTGCATTCCAACATTCACGTTTTTGCTGAAAAATATTGAGGATTTCCTCAGATTAACCATTTGCCCTGTAAAATTCTGATATTTCTGCAATATTTTCACAATTAAAGCTGCAGAAGCTCTGTTAGCCACACTGAAAACCAAGGAATCGTCAGCAAATAAAAGGTGGGAAATCTCAGGCCCATTTCTGGAAATTTTCAACCCACAGAATTCCCCATTTCTCATTTCAGCTTTAATAAATCTGGTCAGGACTTCAGTAACAATAATAAAAATATAAGGTGATAATGGATCGCCTTGTCTGATTCCTCTAGAGGCAGTGATAAAACCACAATTCTCTCCATTCAGATTGAAAGAAAAAGAGACAGAAGAGATGCACTCCATAATCCAGCCCACAAATTTCCCACAAAAACCCATCTTCTTCATGATTTTAGCTACACAACTCCATTCTAGCCTATCATAGGCTTTCATCATGTCCAGTTTTACAGCCATATACCCAGTACTACCAGTCCTCATTCTATTAAGAAAATGAATAGCCTCATGAGCTATTATTACATTGTCCATCAAATTCTTACCAGGCACAAAGGCAGATTGACTTTTACTCACACACAGATGCAAACAAGGCTTCAATCTTTGAGCAATTATTTTGGCCATAATTTTATAAGCAACCCCACACAAACTGATAGGTCTAAAATCACTAACAGACATAGGGTTCAAGCATTTGGGGATTAAAGTAATGACAGTGTGATTCCATTGTTTAAGAATTCTAGAGGATTCAAAAAAACTCCTGACAGCTAAACAAACATCATCTTTAATAATGGGCCAAAAATGCTGGAAAAAAAGAGGAGACATACCATCTTCCCCCGGAGCTTTATTGGGATTTAAACTGAACAAGCCTACTCTGATGTCCTCCTCTTCAACAGTGGCCACTAATTCCAGGTTCAGTTGGTCTGTGATGGATGTTGAAATATGCTGCAAAATCTCTGCCTCCTCCCTTGACCTTTCTGATTGAAATAATTTGGAGTAAAAATCAGTTACACAATCAGCAATATCTTTCCTGCTTTCATGAACTCTCCCTGCTGAATCCACTAGTCTGGTAATAGAATTGCTCTTCCTCCTTTGTAGATTCATGGCATGGAAGAACCTGGTATTCCTATCTCCTTCTTTGAGCCACAAGGCTCTGGATTTTTGCTTCCAAAACAGCTCCTCTGATTTGTATACCTCATCTAATTCTTTCTTTAATTTCTCCCAGCTTTCCCAATCTCTATCTCTCCCTTGCTCTCGCAACTGCTCAAGTCTCTGTGTCAGCTGATCAATCCTCTTATAATTATCTGACTTGAAAGCTTGACTCCACTTCAACAATGCCACCCTAGTCTTCTTTATTCTCTATTGTAATTGGAACATAGGAGTTCCAGATTGTTGCTCCCTCCAGGCTGATTCAACAACTTTAGAAACCCCTGTTTGCTGGAGCCACTTTTTGTCAAATTGGAATCTCCTCTTCATTTGCCTGTCTTGCTTGGGATCATCTGTCAGAACCATCAGTTTATGGTCAGAAGCACTTTTAAAGTAGCTCTTCACCTCAGCATCAGGGTGGTTGCTAATCCAAGAAAGAGATCCAAAAACCCTATCTAATTTCTCCTCAATAAACCCTTCCCCCTCCCTATTTCCCCATGTAAAACCATCCCCCACCATTCTAACCTCCAGCATTCCCATCCCAGATATGAACTCCAAAAAACCCTCCATCTCCCTTTGATTTTTAAGTCTTCCCCCTTTTTTTTCAGAAACATCACAAATTGAATTCCAATCCCCCCCTATTACCCATTTCTCACCCCATTTAGCCCTAGACTGCAACAGATACTCCCACTGAGATTCCCTGATGTTTCTACCTGTGCTCATGTAAACTAGGATCACCCACATGGAACCCCCATTCACTCCCTCAGCAATCTCCATTTCAATACAAAAGAAATTACAAAACATTTGCAGGACAATAGAATCCCTACACCACATAACTACCAGCCCACCCCCAATCCCAAAGGATCTACAGCCTTCCACCTCCCTTCAAAACCCAAGTTTCTACAAACAGTTCTAGTAAAGAAATTTTGTTTTTTTGTTTCTGAAAGAAAGACAAAATTTGGATGGTGGACTCTGCAAGAGTCCTTTAATTGTGAAACTGTAGAGGGCCCACCCAGACCTCTACAGTTCCACATAATAATCTTCATTTATCCAATTGGGGCCATTTTAGGCTGGCTACCACCACCTTAGAATCTGAACCCTTCAAGTTCTTGCTCTCCCCTTCCTCCAGTTTTGACTCCTCAGTAGAAGGAGATATATTTGTGCCAGAAGGCCTCCCTCTTTTGCCTGATCTATGCTGCCCATTAGTATCCTCCTTCTGAACTTGTCTCTGTACTTTGTCACCAGCTTTGGATATCCTCCTCCAGCTTCTGCCTCCCTTTGGTGGAATTACTGAAGAAGAACCGCTGCCATCTATTTTCACCTCTGTTTCCACCAAGTTGTACATTGATAGATCCATGGCTTGCTTTGCAGTCATAACATTTGTTTTCCCCGTATCCTCCTAGTTCTCCTCAATCCTTAATGGCCCTTCCATCCACCCTGGTCCTCCTTCTGTTGCAATATGATCCTCATCCATGTTCTTGTCATTGATCTCATGAGCTCCACCATTGATTGTTTCTGTTCCCCCATTTCCTTGATCAATAACAGCCCGCTGTAGAGAGGTTTCAGTATTTGCTTCATTAGTTTGAGGAGACACACCATCCCTTCTCTCTGAAGCAGAATTAAGGTTGTGCTCGGAACTGTTCCCCCCTGATGATTGGTGTTGTCCAAATCTGCCTGAATACCACATATAATTCTGGCTTCCATCCAATGCTCTCATCCAATCACCATACTGGCCTCCTTTAAGTTTGCCTTCATCTATGTCTTCCAGTCTTTGCTTGCAGCTCCTATCCAAGTGGCCGATCTTGCCACAATAGTAGCATAAGTTTACCAGCCGTTCATACTGGAATCCCACAAGAACTTGTTGGTCCTGGAATTTGATCGAAGTACAGCGAGGTAGAGCTTTCGATAAATCCACCACTGCTAACAGTTTGATGAAACTGCCCTTAGTACCTCCTGCATTAATCACTGAGACATTTTTCACTTTTTTGAAAATCCTTCCAACCTTCAAACCAGTCTCTGCACTTAGCCAGTTCAATGGGATGTTCTTAATCTGGACCCATAGTTGCAAATCCTGGAATCCTGCAGACCCCGCATTAATACCTGTTTCCCATTCTTTCAACACTAAGTATTGGTTATCAAACACCCAGTTAACTCCAGATAGAACCTTCCTTTTATCCTCCTTATTCCCAAATATAAACTGGAAATAATTCATACTCAGTTCACGCACTTCCATAGGCTGACTAATCTGCCAGATACTGCTCATAGCTCTCCTTATTCCCACCAAGCTGGCTCTACGGTCACCCGTAATTTTGCCAAAAAGACTGTTATGACACTCTTCTTCACTAGAACGGACATCTGCTTCCTCGAGCTCAAAAACCCCATTTTCCTCCCCTGAGAGTGAAATCTTACTGAGCTGCTCCCCCAGAATATCCGGCGAACCCCCTGGAATAGTGGCCTCTGTAGAATGAGAATCCATCATCAGACCTGCAGACAAAATAAAGAGGCAACAAGGAAGAAACCCACCCCTACCAAACCAAGAAAGAAACAAGGGACACCGAGACTGAAAAATCAACTGGAAACCCTAAAAAAACCCCAAAAACTCAAATAGAAGAACCCCCCAACCAGAGGAATCCCCCAACTAACACCCTATAGAATCGCCCTCTAACCCTAAGAGAATCGCCACTCCCATTAGAGAGAATCCCATAGCTATCGCATGATTTAGGTGGTTTAATCCTCTCATGACACCTATACACCACATAGCTTAGTCATTAAAATTTGAGATTAGTCATCTCTAATTAAACTCAAAGAAGATACGTATAAGCTTAAGAAAAGGAATTATTTCCCAACTCAAATTACTTACGTCCTTTGCGAATTAAATGGGAAATGAAGTACGGCTTTAGCTAATACTCATGATTAGTGATTAATTAATCACTCCATTATGTTTAATTATTCAATTAAACATAATGATTAATTACCAAAATTATTCCGAACGTAAACGGTACGTCAAAAATAATTTCCGGTAATTTCGACTGAACTGACTGAAAATAATTAATTCCGAAAATTAATATCGGAACTAAAAACATGATTAACATGACGGGATATCACTAACTGAATAATTAATTTCGGACATTAAATAAATAAACGAATCGGAATTAAATTTGGAAATTTATTCGGTTACTAAATAAGTAAACTGAATAACTTATCGACTAATAGTCGAACATAGAATACAACTGACTGATTAATCTGAACTTGAACATGAACATGATTATTTATTAATAAAGGCTAGCTTAAAACTAAAAGCTAGTATTTTCTTTATTAATAAAATACGGGGCGTTACAATGTTTATTGCTATTATTATTGCAGTAATTCGACCACCCTTGAAAAATACAAATAATATTGTAAGATATAGCGAAATACGATAAGAAATGTTTAATCATTAACTTTTATTGTAAATTATACCTCATTGTCATGAAAGACAATCTCAATGATGTTCTTGTAGGATGAGTAACCATTAGTCCTTTGAAAGACTCGAACAACTCTTAGCTTGATCATAGGCCTGTTAGTCCAAATGGGAGTAAGATTTTTTTGCGATACGTGATGTACTATCATTCTATAATTTTATAGGCATGTGATAATAGTTGATAAACATTAGATTAATTTAAAATAAGAGTTTTAATAAATTGAATCTCTTGTGTGATGATAAGATAAGTCCGAATTAACTAACACGTGCAATTTTAAAGAATGAGTTATCTCTACAACATAAAATATGAATCCATAATTTCATAATTAACTAAATAATTTCGGTCAAATATTGGTATGGACCGAAATTTATTGATGGATAGATTGAGGCGTGTATTATCTCTCTAATTAATTATTGCTTTTCTTTTCAAATAGGATTCTCATTAATTAAAAACGTGATTTATCTTTATAATGTGACTTATCCATATATTCTTACTATCTCTCTAATTAAATAATTTGTCGTATCTCTTTAATGTGATTTATCCACATATTCTAATTAATTAATTATAACGTTCAATATTGTATTATATTTATGACCATCAATTGTAAAGTAATTCGAACCAAAATGTATTTAAATTAGAACAAAAAATAGTCTACGTAAATCTATAATGTAAAAAAAAATATTAATTGGATTTAAATAAAAAAAATTAATTCAATTTCAAGTATAAATAGAAAAACATAAACAAACTAACTAAATGTATAAATATAGAAACATAAACAAACTAATCCCATTTCAGAAAATAAAAAATGTAACAATTTCACTCGAAAAAAACTAACTCAATTATTTAGTCCTAACATTCTCTTTATCAAGCTTCATATCACCACAGTCACAGTTTTCTATTACATCGCAATCCTGTTGTTGGTGACATACATGTTTGGCTTGTACCATTGGCTACTTGAAAACCTGAAAATTACACATAATCTTGAATATCAATTAACTATACGAAAATCTACCCACATAATATATACAATCTATATACAGCATAACAAAAATTTAATAAAATGTCAAGTGTTCGAGATTATTTACCTTGCACGTAAATCTATACTTTCCGGGAAGTTAGCAGCAAAAAGCCTTGTGACATTCAGATATGAACTCAATTGATATTCACCTGTTGCAAAATAATATATATAATTTGCTATTTTCTTATATGTATAATAACATTATTTCTTTTGTATTATAATTATAATACAAAAAAAACAAAATTCCGAAATACCTATAATTTTTTGTCTTATCCTGCATAACTGCATAATGAGAACCCATGGTTCTCCATCTTCAAGTGATTGGAAGTAATTTTCACAGTCAATGAACTCGTAAACATAGTGACCCCAAAGTTCGCAACGCATCACTAATCCACTATCTAGTTAAAAAAAATAATATAAAATGGTAAACAACTTTAATAAATATATAATTCATCTAATGTATTTTTCTTACTCCAAATCCATCATTTTTAAAAAGCGATCATTTGCTTTTCTTCTCCATTATGAAAATCCGAACGAATGGGTCGAACCTCGACAACCATCCCAATAGCATCTACAAAATATTAATACAAAAATTAAATACTATTCTAAAAATAAATATATCAAAAAATAAATGAATTTTGAAAAAAAGAAAATAGAGTACACCATAAATAATAATAAAAGATTTACCATAAAGCATTCATTCGTCGACAATGTCATCATTTTGAAGAAATACAAAACTATGGAAGTCGAACTCCCATGTATGGAAATTAGATAGCACGTGAAGGACCTTGGTATCTCCATTAATTATAATTAACTTTGTAGTTTGTATTAGTAGATCGAAATTTACTAACATCTATCTCTAGTTGGTAGTTGGTAAACATACATACCCAACCCTCCTCAAGCAACCCAGCAAATATAGGGAGATTACGAACTATACCAGTTATCCGTTTATCCTAAAAAACAAATAAACATTGGTAATGAGATAAAAAAAATAAAAATAAAACAATAATCAAAATACAAATTAAATTTAATACAATAAACTACATCCATATCGTGGAAAAGAATTTCCCAATTGCTTGAAGACGATCCATTTAAAGATCTTTTGAAAATGCAAACAGCTCTAAGCTTAAGATAGTGGCTCATATTAATATTGAGCTGGCTGATTAAGCCTAATTGTTGCTCCATGACAATATTTCTTTTTGTTTAGGGGTAAACGTGGAGATTTTTTTTTTTTCTAAATATGTGAGACTTGATTGGCGTAAAAGATGTTTTGTGGCGTACTTATCGTAATAATATGAATGAGAAGTATACAGGAAACAAATCTTTGAGTATTAACACATCTTTTAAATTTTTAATTAAGAGGAACAAAATATTAATCAAATACACGTTTTAAATATTTAAATATAAGGTTTGTTATATACATATATATATATATATATATATATATATATATATATATATAGTAATAATATGAATGAGAATTGTACAGAAATTAGAAGTATAAAGGAAACAAATCTTTTAGTAATAACACATATTTTAAATATTTAATTACGAAGACTAAAATACGACTCAAATTCAAGTTTTAAATATTTAAATATAACGTTTGTTATATATATCATACAATCTGTAACATTTTTTTGTAGTAATAATAATTGATATCTCATTAATTGTGGGAGTAATTGATATTTCATTATTGAAATTA